TGAGATTTGAGAGAAACACCCTTCTTCTTATAAAAGGATTGAGTGGCTCCTTTAAGCCACCCTTGTTGTTGTTAGTGAAGAGTGTGGAGGAAATCCTTGGTGAGTGAAGCCAAGGTAGAGGACTAGGCTCCAAGTGGTTGGACCGAACCTCTATAAAATCATTGAGCAAGCTGTTCTTCTCTACTCTCTTTATTTTTGGTTTTGTGATTGCAAAAAGGGGAGAATTTTTGGAACTCCAATTCACCCCCCCTCTTGGAGTACATTGAGTCAACAATTGGTATCAGAGCAAGGGCTCCAATTTGAAGGTTTAACCACCTAGGAGTTGATCAAGGATGGCTCAATTTCAAGCTTCTCAACCACTTGAAGGTTTGCCTACCACCAAGCCTCCTTTCTTTGATGGTACTAATTATAATTATTGGAAGAATAGGATGAAGGTCTTCATGCTTGCAAATGTGCCCAAGGCATGGATTGTGACTATGAAAGGTCCATATGTGCCTATGAAAGTAGTTGGGGAAAGTGAGGTTCCAAAGGAAGAAGTTGAATGGAATGATGAAGACTTGGTGAAGATCATGATCAACAACAAAGCAATGTGCTCTCAATCCAACAAAATTCCATAGAGTTTCCAGGTGTGATACAGCTAAGGAGATGTGGGACATGTTGGAGGTAACACATGAAGGAATAAGCCAAGTGAAGGAGTCAAAAATCAATAGACTCATTCACATGTATGAGCTTTTTAAGATGAAATCGGAGGAGAGCATTCAAGATATGTATACAAGATTGAATGATATAGTCATCAATCTCAAGGCTCTTGGTAAAGTTTATCCTTCTCAAGAAGTGGTGAGGAAGGTTCTTAGAAGTTTGCCTAAGAATTGGGAAGCCAAGAAGACCGCAATTGAAGAATCTAAGGATCTCAACACTCTCAAGCTTGAAGATCTCATTGGAAAATTGATGACATATGAAATAGAAGTTCAAGCTGATTGTGGAGTTGAAGTGGTTGAGAAGAAGAAGAAGAATGTTGCTTTCAAGGCTAGCAACCAAAAGGAAGAGAGTGAAGATGATGTTTGTAATGATGAGTCTAGCAATGAGGAGGACATCACCAAATTGGTTTCGAAGGAAGTGAAGAAATACATGAAGAAGAGCCTCAAAGGGACATCCTCTAGAAGAAACAAGGAAATTCACTATTCTAGAGGAAGAATATGTAGTGATGATGATGATAGAGGAAAGCCAAGCAAGAAGTATATCAAATGCTATGAGTGCAACAAGATGGGGCATTATAGAAATGAATGCCCTCAATTGAAGAAGGGTGAAGGGAAAAACAAGAAGAGCATGAAGAAGAAAGCTTTTGCCGCCACTTGGAGTGATGATGAGGCTAGCTCAACGGAAAGTGAAAGCTCCTTGGAGAATGGTGTTGCAAATCTTTGCTTCATGGCTCAAGAGGATAGCAACAATGATGAGGAGGTAAACTCTAACTTCTTTAGTTCAATTAATGAAAGTTCCTTTGAGTATTCTTATGATGATTTATGCAAAGTTCTTGATTGCTCTATGAATGATATTAAGAGACTAGGGAATGAGAATCTTGCTCTTACTAAAACCATTTCATTGCTTAAAAATGAGATTGTATCTCTTTCAAAACAAAATGAGGTTTTAGTTAAAGAAAATGCCTCTTTAAATGGTGAAATTGCATCTTTAAAGAATGAGGAGTCTAATAATGCTTTGAAAAAGGAAAATGAGGATGCAAAGAAGGAAAATGAGGATTTGAATAAGGAAAATGAGGTTTTAAAGAGAAAAGCTTGTGATCTTGAGCATGTGATTTCCAAATTTACCTTGAGTAAAGAAAATTTTGATTCTATCTTAAAATCTTAAAGAAGTATTTATAACAAAGGGGGCATTGGATTTGATTATTCTAAAAAGCAAAAGACTTTTAAGAATTCTTTTGTAAGAGCAAATCAATCCTCTCATCCTAATGTTACTTGCTATTGTTGTGGTGCAAAGGGACACTTTGCCTATGTATGTCCTTTGAAGAGATTGATAGCTCAAGGTAAAGTGAAGTAAATTTGGGTTCCTAAAGGAACTTTAAGCACTAACCCCCATGGACCCAAGCAAATTTGGGTACCAAAAATCAAAACTTAATTTTGTTTTGTAGGTAAAGTTGATGGCAAAGTCATAAGAAGAGTAAAGTTGATCTTGATAAAGACTTATGCCTCAACAAGAATGTTGGAGTGAAAGTGCAAAGAAAATGTGTTTTTGAATGCTCGACTCATGTGCTCAATTGGTATTATTTATCTTATTGGATTTATTCATTGAGTATAATTACATTAATATGACTATTAATTATTTGTTTATGTGTGCTCACTCTTTGATACATATGCTTGTTGAGTTTGATTTCATTTGATGTGTCTTTTCTAGTATTGATACAACCTTGTTGATTGCTATAGATATTACTTGTATCATATTTACATACTTGACATATGTGAATGATTAGATTGATTATCTATCATATATAGTTCATAATGAGCTCTTGATAGTATAAGTGATTTTCAATGTCATATGTGCCACTTTGAAGATGGTTGATGATTTGATTTAAATGAGTAATTTTAATAACTTGTCTTATTTTACATTGTTTGTTTCATTCAAATTTACTTGTCTCATTATTTTCATAATTTTAATGATAGCACTTGGAAGTTAAGTATATTAGGAAATTTGTGTGTTTGCTTTTTGATGGATGATTTTGATGATATTTGATTATGTGTAAGTGTATGTCATGCACTTGAATGCTTGCATAGTCATGGTTGATTTCAATGAATAAACTTTTTAATATTTGCTATCATATGATACGATGCATATAAAAAGGAGTAATAGTGTTGAATCTATTCATGTGGTATTCAATAAGACTAACCCCATTTGCTCTAGAAAGAGTTGTAAATTGTGATGTAGATGTTATTGGGTAACAAAGATAAGAATAAACATTGAAGACAATAGCATCACACAACTTTCATGTGAAGCAAGTGAAAAGAACAAGATTGAGGAGATGCAACAAGCACAAAAACAAAGGTTATAATTCTACCCAAAAGAGAGATCTGATAAAGGTAATGTGATAAACGATAATATATCTCAAGGGTAAGAAATATGCACGTTGTACTTAACGATGGCATTAATATTGTTTTTGGTGCTACTAATGAGGTTGTTATGTAAGTATGTTCATGTTTTCATGAGTCATTTTATTAAGGGGAAGCTCTATTGTTTGCTCTTCATATGGTCTTTAAACTTTTTTATTGGATAACAAAAAGGAGAGAAAGAATTTTTTTGACTTTCATAGTTGCTTGGAATGAGATATCTTTGTTTACTACAAAGCCTCTTGATTGTGATAGATTTTTAATATTTGACCATTTTCCTCTCTTCACATTCAAGATTTGATTCTCTCCCAAAATTTGCCCTCATTATCTATGCACATTTCTTAGCTTATTATCATGAATTGTGGGTTTTAATTGTATGACTTTATGATTGCCTATGATTTTGATGATTATGATCTTAAGTGCTTTCATTGAGGGGGAGCAATTTGTGGATATTGTGTTTAAATCACATATTTTTGATGTTTTAAAGGTTGTATGCATGAATTAAGGGGGAGTTTGTTGTTTATGCTTATATACTTTTTGATGGATGACAAAAAGGGGGAGAAAGTATGCTGAAATTTCTGTTTCCATATGAGCTCTCATTGAAATATATATGTGCTTTCATTAATTTATTTTCAAAGTGTTTTGTCATCATCAAAAAGGGGGAGATTGTTGTACCTATGATTTTGATGATTACAAAACACATTTGAGTGACTAATTGGTTCATTTAAGTGTATAGTTAAAATGTCAAAATATTGCAAAGTGAGTAAACTTGGACTGCACTTAAGGCTTGAAAATGTGCAAAGAGCCGGCTGTGGAGGTGTAGAGAGCCAGCTCTGGAAGCTGCAGCGGGCTCTACGGGTAAAAAGTTAAAAGTAAGTTGTTTGGCGTGCGCGGAGAAAAGACGCAAAACCGGCTCCAACTTTGCAGCCGGCTGTGAGGGTGCATTTAATACACAACGGTCGAGTTATTTGAAAATTATTTAATGTGTTTAAAGTTGGAATCCCAAAGCCGACTTTAGGCTTTTCAGCCGGCAGTGGAAGAAAACAGAATGTGCAGAATCTCGCAAAGCCGGCTGTAGAAATGGTGAGCCGACTGTTCAGAGCCGGCTCTGGAAAGTTAAGCCAACTCTCCTGACAATCCTGCAACTCGAGCTTTGCGTCCTGCAGAGCATTTAATGACTTCCAACGGCTAGAAACGGCTATTTTCGAGTAAGGGGCTATAAATATGGTTGGTAACAGATCTGGAACAATCTTTAGAGCCTTGCATTGAATATCTTTACCTACCTACATGTGCTTTAACTTGAGTTTTTGATCTTTGAGAGATCTTTACTTGT